AGATTACTCTGTCTGCATATCATATTAAAGGGGCAGAATAAGATGCTTTTCTCTCACAGAGTAGATATTTGGGAGGGAGGCTGGCTGTTATCAGCAGCATAAGATGACAGTTGAGTGACCCCAGAGGTAAGAAGCATTGTTAAGTATCTTCTGTATTTTTAAAAGACTTTTAATATAGCATATAAAAAGTCTTACATTATAAGACTTCTAATATAGCATTTGAATCAACATTTTGGGTACAGAAAGAATGCCAGATTGTCTCTGAATACACAGTCTAGCATATGAATCAACCTTTTGGTCACAGAAAGAATGCCAACTGTCTCTGAATACGCAATTTAAGCATTTGTCCATCTGCTAGTTTCAAGGGTACCTACCGTGGATTGTAGCAACAATTAAACCAGCACTAAACCAAGCATCTTTTTCAAATGGAAGGGAAGGGAATTATGGAAAACATGTCCACGAATTTGGTATTCATTGAAAGTCACTGAAATCTTGTTTGTTTCTGCAGTGAGAAAAGGTGAAGTTGTTAGCTGACTGCGACTCTGAAGAACTTAGACACGGGCAGTCAGAACTTGTCAGAAATCCAGTAAAGATTTCTGTAGGCATTCTCTTGTTTTCCTCCAGTTTTCCCAGAAATGACTCCAATGGCTCAGCTGTGATCAAATTTTCAAGGCTGGTAATTCCCTCTCCTAGGCCTGAATGCACTGCAGATGCTGGAACGACGTATCACTGTCACTAATATGGATGCAGCTGTTTACGGAGACTGATACATGGCCCAAAACTGCATCATTCCTATGGCTCTAAAGGAAAAATCTTGCAGGGAGCAGGTAATAACTGAGCTCAGGAGCAAATTCTTCAAAGGCTGTGTGCTAAAACTTCAGCATTTTTAGGAACAGACACTCATACGAAGAATAAAGATAGTAATATTGAATTACGACACTTCTTCCCCATGAACTAGTCTTTAAAAAATTCTCTCTTGAACTCCATTTTACTGTGTGAGACAGCTAAGAATCATATGTCCTAGACTTTCAGCTTTAAAAAACATGTAGATTTTCATCAGTATTAACAATACCCACATTCAGGAAGTATTACAAAATTAATTACTGAAAGAGAGCTGGGTTTTTGTTGTTGTAGTTTTTGTTGTTTGTATAAGCAGGTGTATTTGCTAACAGAGTATTCACATTTCTTCCACACTTCATGGCCCTACCCTCAGTGATCTTGTTCTTCTCCATGATCATGGTTCTTGCTCAGTTCTGCCAGGTTTTAAATAATGCTATACTTTCACTGATTTAGTTGATTCTGTCCCAGTCTATGACTAATTTGGCACAGTAATGAGAATTTTATTTGTGATTTCCATGAAAGCTGGAACAGATGGATGAGTGAAAATCTTGCCTTAGGAAGAAAAATGCTCCTGTTCTTGATACATGCTCTTTTTCGTTTAAAGTAAAGAGTGTAAATGATTTATTTCTGAACTCAGCCTCCATGATCTACTGTAATTGTTCTTTAAATAAAAGAAGCCATCATTTTGATTTAATTTGAATACTCTTTCAGAGTATTTTAACTCCGTGATGAAACAGCAGCCAAGAAATGACAGTTTATCATCACTGCTGCTAACTAAGGACTACAGTATGACAGATTAGTAGTAGTGTGGGTGAATGGTGGTTTTATTCCTTGCTGCTTATTCTACTATGAAGAACAAAAAGCATGAATGACTTGGAGTGGGGGACTGGTTCTTCACTTCAATGTTTATCCTAATGCAAAGAACAGCCAGGCAGCAGTTGAAATGAGCAGCAGCCAGGCTTGAGGCAAACAAAGGGGTTCTTCAGATCAGATGTAGCTGAGAAGTGCAGTGCAGGATGCTTGGGCGGCCAAGGGTTCATGTGAGTTGAAGAGCAGGTGGGACAGGTTCATATATGAGAATCTGTTAAAGGATTGCTAAATATATAGAAACCATGCTTGTTTACAACCATGATTTTTTACAAGTGGAATCATCCCAGTAGGTTTACTGGCAAATTGAGCTGTTACTTGCTGTAACTAGCCAACTTCCATGGCTAAATGATTGTGATAACAACTGTCAACACAGCACCATGATTTTGAGAAAACAACTAACCAAAGTTGGTAGCTATTAAAGAGCGTTGTGATAAGACCATGAAACTGTCCAAGAAGAAACATAATCCACAGTGTCCTGAAAGCCCTAGAATTTCAACCTGAAAGCACTGGAACTGAGAACCTATCAGAACAAACTGGTTGTGCTGTTTAACTTCGATAAATGTTTTGGGTGTTGTTCTTGAAGTGGGAAAGTTTTACTTAATTCCTGTTTTCCAAATCTATCATTTCGAAAAAAAAATATTCTCAGGAAGGTAACTTCTCATAGAGGAATGTTGTTTGTTTGTTTGTTTGTTTTTCCCAGACACCTGTGGTTTCGAGAAAATCTGTATTAGATAACCTCTGATAGAAAAAAAATCCAGAAGATGGTAATTAGCAGTGTTATTTTTTTTCAGTACTTGCATGAGCTGAGATACAAACTTTTGAAAGAGAATGTTTTCCTTGAAAAAAAAATCATGGGTGAACGTTCTAATATGAATTATTAGACAAAATTAATTTAGGAAAACATACATTCTTGTACACATAAGGATTGTTTTCTAACTACGAGATTTAAAAGTAACTATGGGATTTAAAAAATATTATCCATATACTCAAAAATCAGCTTGACAGACAGAAGTCGTTTGTTTGCGTGTCAAACACAGACTAAGAAAAATGTCCAAAAAGAGAAAAATGCTGGATGTTCAGATTTGGATAATCCAGTTAACCAACCTGTTTTCTCAATTGGGTACATCTGAGGTTGATTTAGGGAAAGAATAGCAATTTTTTTCACACTACAACTGAAATACTTATAGTTCTCCATACCCATGTATCTCCCAGTCTTCCTCAGAGGGGATGGAGCATGCAGGGTGAGCGACTGCAGGCATCAAAAGCTCACTGATGCATGGAAAGCATTTTCTGAAGACTCCATTCTGTTAATGTAAAGCATTCACTTAGCAAACTTGCTTATGTGACTGTATTTTGCTAGAAGGATTTTCTGCAATAAACTGAAATATTCATTTTGTGTAGAGTGCTGGTAGAGTTGAAAGTGAAGTGTGTCTTCTCAAATGAAATAGGAGACACCTGCAATACAGCCGCCTAGAGAGAAAGTTTTGCCTTGGGGCACTTCTTTTAAGTGAACCAGGAGAGCCTGGCTGATTACAGTCCCTGACAATATACCCGGGAACACAGAACCACATTGCCTTTGTCCTAAATCCTACCAGGATCTATGAACCAGGTTCACAGATTATTCCACATTGTGGCAACTTTATGGTCACCATGGGTAGCTGGGACTTTTTGTTTGTTTTCATATTATAAAAAGATAAGGGTTCTTAATCATGTCTCAGCCTTGCTTTCATAGGACCCATTCTTCTTTCATAACTCTGCCATAAAAATTCACTTTGGGCTGATGCTTGGCACTTGAAAGCTCAGCCTGAAAATTTGTTTTTCTCTATGCGATTTTCAGAAAATTGGCCAACAAAAAGATGTGCCTGTGAGCCTTTGGGAGATTTTTTTCTGCAGCAAAATCTAAGCCTCTGTGCTTCGGGGCTGATGTGGTAAAGAAGACTATGCATGCACGCCTGGTGGAAGACGAGCCCAGAAGTCCAATAACATCCTGGGCTGCATTAAAAGAGGGGTGGCCAGCAGGGAGAGGGAGGTGATTGTCCCCCTCTACTCAGCTCTTGTGAAGCCCCATCTGGAGTGCTGCATCCAGACCTGGGGCCCCCAGCACAAGAAGGATGTAGAGCTCTTGGAGCAGGTCCAGAGGACCACTAGGATGATCAGAGGGCTGGAACACTTCTCCTATGAGGAAAGGTTGGGGGAACTGGGCTTGTTTAGCTTGGAGAAGAGAAGGCTCTTGGGAGAGAGACCTCATTGTGGCCTTCCAGAATGTGAAGGGACCATGTAAACAGGAGGGGGAAACAACTGTTTACATGAGTTGATAGTGATAGGACAAGGGGGAATGGTTTTAAACTGAGACAGAGGAGGTTTAGATTAGATATTAGGAGGAAGTTTTTCACTCACAGGATGGTAACTCACTGGAACAGGTTGCCCAAGGAGGCTGTGGATGCCCCATCCCTGCAGGCATTCAAGGCCAGGCTGGATGTGGCTCTGGGCAGCCTGGTCTGGTGGCTGGTCTGGCACATAGCAGGGGGGTTGAAACTCAGTGATCTTTGTGGTCCTTTTCAATCCAGGCCATTCTATCATTCTGTGATTCTATGACTGAGCAAGAGTACATCACCAGAGTTTGAAAATATTTTATTGCTCTGTATGGATGGAAAGTTTTGAGTTAGAAAAAAAAAAAAAAAAGAGAGAGAAATTATTTGAGGGAAGTAATTATAGAATCACAGAATGGCTCGGATTGGAAAGGATCCTAAAGGGCATGCATTTCCAACCTTCTGCTGCCACCACTGCTGCCACCATATCACCCACCAGATCAGGCTGCCCCCCCAGAAAAGAATCCTTGTAGAGTTTGTAAACTCATCTTGCGTGTTTCTCTGTGCTTCTGGTATCAGCAGGTAACAGTGAATCTGTAGCTCTTCCCAATCCAGTGGGTCCCAATGGCAACCAAAAGCCTCTTCTGTCAGAAGAGAAACAGTGAATGCAACCATCTGAGGAAGCAGCAATGGCTCTGCCGCCTCGCCCTGTGCCACCGCAGCGGATGAGGGGTGTCCCGGAGCTGCCAAAGGGTTATCGAGGATGGCCGGGAAGGTGCGGGGCTTTCAGCGGGAACTCGACGAAGGAGCGGAGCAGGGCCAGCGGTTTCCGGGGCGATGGGTGGGGAGAGGAGGAGGAGGAGGAGGTGGAGGAAAAGGGGAGGAGGAGGGGTCCCAGCGGCTTTATCTCCCACCCGGCTCCGCCCGCTGCTTGCAGCCTCCTGCCGCCGCTCCCCTCCGCGCGGCTCCGCACCGCGGGGCGGCCCAGGCGGCGCCCATGGGCTGCGGCAACTCCACGGCCAGCGGCGCGGGCGGGAGAGGTAGGGGCGGCGGCGGGGCGCTCCGGGGCTGCCCCGGGGGATTGGGGGGGCGGCGGGGCCGGGCTGGAGGTCGGCAGGGGTGTGAGAGCCGTCCCTTATAGGGACGTAAGGCCGCTTCGGAAATGGGTTTGTGCCGTCTCTCTGCTGGCCGGAGAAGTTGGGGAGCGCCTTGAGGTTGGGGTTTCCTTAACCCCCCTTCCACTTCCCGCTTTGCGCGTTGCTGTTTTCAGAGCAGGGGAGGTGTGGGCAGATGGTGCGGTTGTGTCTTCCTTCCCCCTCTCCACCCAGCCCCTGCGAAAGGGGAAAATAGATGGAAATTAATAAATGGACCTTGACCTCCTCGTTATAAAGGCGAGCATTTATAAATCATTTTTCATCCTGACTGCACTCGGCAAACAGTGCCATCTATTTAAATCCCTGCGTGAGTCTCTCAGATACATTTATTAAATTCACAACGTCTTGAAAACGCCCAGCGAAACTGCGGTCAGAGCAGCAGCAGCTCGCGAGGGCTCAGCCCTGAGCCCACTGCCTATAGCCAGAGCTCAGTGCTGGCCTTAGCGTGTGGCACTGTGCCTGGGTGGAAGGGCTTCAGGGTGTGTGGATGGATGGATGGATGCACTGTGATGTGTGACTGCCTTTCTCAGTCCTGTGCCTCGCACCCATAGGGGGAGGCTTTAAAACCATTATTGTTTACTTGATTTCTCTTAAATGATGTCTGAGATTTATACACCAGAGGCCTTCCTCATCTGTAAGGAATGCACTGTAGGATTTGCTTAAACATCAAATGAATTCTCTTCCACTTGTTGATTCCCCATCACAGTGCCTTGAAGTTGCTTTCTGCTGCTAGGATGGTGCTCACAGCCTGGATTTGTTTGCTGGGTGAAAGCATCGTGGCAGCCATCAGAGCAGCTTGGAGGGAAGTTTAAGTTTTGATTGGTTGTTGTCTCCATGTGGTGGCCATTGTGGTACCATTGGTGTGGCCACCACCCTGCAGAGCTCACTGCAAGACACAAATGAGCGAGCGCTGAATGAACTGTGGCACTATGCAGAGCATTACTTTTAACTCAGTGTATGTTTAAATAAATGCCCACTGTTGCTTTAACAGTAGCTATTTTTGACAGATTTTGGCCTGTTCATAAAAGATTCTCAATGATGTACAGCTCTTGGATAGCTAAACGTGCCTGCACTGTTACTCACAAAATACTTTGGTTTGCGTTTCTTTGCAGCGTCTTGCACACTCTTTAGAAATAATCCACAGTTCTCCAGTGGCTTAGCGTAGGTTAAAAACAACATCACCGTATAAAATCTGTGATCAATGTAATGTGATTATTGTTGCTGCATCGACAGACCTTTCCAAAACAGGTCTGGCTCTCCACAAGGTGCAGCTCTCACTTTCACTGATATAAGTCAGGAATAACTGTGCAGTCAATGGTTCTGTAATCACCAACAGCTGGGAGCAGAAGTAAGGCATTAGCTGTCTGATAGCTAATTTGTTTTTGCAGTTTAGCACCCCTTACATACTGTGTCTGATAAAAATGATTTATGTGGAGAAGACACACTGTTGGCAATCGGGATTGCAGACCTTTTAAGAAAAGTGTAATTCTCAACATTTTAACAATGAGTACAATATGAATACAAATGAGTTATGTGGCTTGCACTGCATGGCTACAACTTTAATGCTGAAGTTATGACTATTTTACAGCCAGTGATGTCAAAGCTAGAGGTACATATAATTAACCTGTGATACTCTTGGTCATATTTCTGCCACTAAGGATAATGTTGTAGCATACTTCACGGAGCTGAGTAGACTTGGGTTTCGTCAGTCCCCATTTTCTTGCTTGGGTAAAATTTCAATTGTAGCCCAGCTAGATTTTTTTTCCTAAGCAGACATATACATAATGATAGTTCAGCTAATATCATTAGCTGTGTTGCATGGCTAGGATTACATCAGAAGAGGTCTCAGTCCTGTGGTCTGCAGGGTCTAAACTAATATTCATGATCTAGAATAACATTTCTGTCTGTGGTGCAGCACTCCAGAATGCCAGTAAAACTGACAGAGCTCAGATTTTCCTTCCAGGGCGTCAGACAAAAGGATGTGAGGCTTAAAGGCTCCTCAGCTGAGAAATGGAGACTTCTGAGCAAATTGATATGTGCACATCCTTCTTAGAACCACCAGCTGTTTTAATGTTAACTGTGGATTATATTTATTTGAAAAAAAAAATCCCATTAAGGTTTTTATTAACAATAACAAATAATTTTATTATCAATTTTTTTTTTTTTTTTAATTTTTGTGATGTTTTGTTATTTCACTTTACATATCCTTCTTTCATGGTATTTCCTGATGCTTCAGGAACTCCAAACAGCTCTTCTGGGCTTTAAAATACATCATTTTACCCATTAATTCCCCCTTTTTTGGCATTAAGGCTTTTCCCTTCATACTAGCATTGCTTCACTCAGAGTTTTTTAACTACCTACTCTTTTCTATATCAATTGTAGTAGGAATGACAACGCCTTAAATTATGGCATTCCATAGAAGCTGGCAGTCTAGCCTTGATTTAAATAGGCAGACAAGCTGTTACTCTATGGGAAGCTTAAAATCAGCCAAATTAGGATGAAAGAGAATTTTCACACCAAGTTTAAACAGACTTATTAACATCAAGTTGGTGGAATACCAAGGAAGCCATTCTGCTGTGAAAATAATTAATGTTTGATTGGAGCTGATGCCTGTGTACCAAAGTACTGCTTGAGGAGCTGAAGAAGTAATCAATTTCTGTTAAAAAAAAGAAAAAAAAAAAGAAAAAAAAGAAAAAAAAGAAAAAAAAAAAAGGTAGATCAGAATAGAATCTTAGCATTACAGAATGGCTTGGGTTGGAAGGGACTTTAAAGCCCATCCAGCTCCAATGCCCACGCCATGGGCAGGGTTGCTGCCTACCAGCTCAGGCTGCCCAGGGCCCCATTCAGCCTGGCTTCTGAGCGTTTCCAGGGATGGGGCACCCACAACAAAGAATTCCTGTGATGTTAGGATTTGGTTCCATGTGGCTGTTTTTTGGCACAAATCAAAAGGGAGCATATGACAGAGAACTTCAGATGTGTTGCATGCATGTATATGTGATTTTTAATATTTTATTGCATTTTTTTTTTTATCATTTGGAGTATTTGCAAGAAAACATTGTTTGAAAATGGAGGAATATACTCTTTGGCTACCAATTTCTCTCAACCACCTATTGCGTTTGCCCTGAAGTTACTGAAATCCTGCTTTTGTTTTGAAAGTTCAGACCCCCTCTCATTGAAAAGAGGATGCTTTGGGATTTGCTCATTTACAAATCTGCAAAGCAAGCAACACAGTGCCTCTCATGATTCCTCCGATCCCCAGTCACTCTGCATGGTGCAGGAAGGGTTCAGCTCTCTTTGCTATTACTGCCTCTACAGTGAGCTTGCCTATTTGCTGCATGGCAAAACCACTGTGAGTTGATGAAGACAAGGTTTGTAGGGTCAAGTGCTGCCTTTCTTTAGGGCAAGCCGATGTAATTGAAAAAAACTGAAAAGCTTTCAGAAAAGCCTTTTTCAAGTCATATTTCTAAATCGTCATGGCTACAAGAGTACTAAGTCTTGCTGTTGTGGAAGAGCTATTTGTGAATAGTTCCTAAACAAGATACTTTGACTGAACTTATGGCAGGAGGAACTTGAGAAACGGGAGTAATGTGTTGCTTACAAAAATATGGAAGAGTTAAAGAAACATATTGGTGAAGTAATAGGAGTGAGGGTGAGTGGACTGGACTTTAAAATAAACGCAAGTCTTTGCAAAGTGCAACGTTATTGGGTCCATTGTGAAATAAAAACTGTGTATAAGGGCTGTTCAGGCTCCCCAGTGAAGAAACCTTATGAATTTTTACACAGAGAAAGTTATGAGCCGCCTAACTGAAGTGGTGTTCACCTTCAAGCACAGCACTGCCAGCAAGAAAATGTTTTGTGAACTGGAAGCACTTACAGGTCTCTATTCAGACACTTTAGTAGTACTCAAGTGAATTTGGACTACATTCTGTTTTCACTTCTGCTAGTGAAAATGAGAAATTACGGTACTGAAACTGTGATGGGATCCCATCAATGGGGGTGAGGGTAACATAATTCTTTGTGCTTATAAAAACAAAGGAAAACAAGCCAGTAAAAATTACCTCTTAAGAAGTGAATTTGTTTTCATCGTACTTAGTTCTCAGTGTTTCTGTGTGAGGAGCATTTCAAAAAGCTGCAGGGAATTCCAGCTGTGGCTCAGTCCCTGATGCCAAAGGGACCAGTTGCTGGGTATTGGGAGCACTCAGCATTGCTTTGCTCTCCAACACAGACATGAACCCCATGCTAAAGGGTCTGAGACAGCTTCTGTCACAGAGTGCTTGTATGTTTGTACCCTAATGCCTGCCTGCCATGTGGACTTCCAGCCGTGAGCTGATCCCTCTTATGTCCAGAGCTGGCTCCCATGCTGCTGGTGGGGAGAGAGGTGATACACAGTTCTCTAAGTAATGCTCTGAAAAGGGGCATGGCATTGAGAATGGTTTTGGCTTTGAAGTGTGCTTGATGATTGGAACTTGTGTCTCTACATTCAGAAATGCTGCAGTGCTGTAGGCCGACAGTTCTTCCCACTCAGCTAAAGTCTCAGTCTACGTATCAAACAATTCTGGTATGTTTCCTGTAAGGAAGGTTTAATTTATTTAAATCATAGAATCATTTGAGTTGCAAGAGACTGTCAAAGGCCATCTAGGCTGACTTGCAATGAACAGGGACACCTACAGCTAGATCAGGTGCACAGAGCCCCTCCATCCTGACTGTGGATGTCTCCAGTGATGGGAATTCAGCGCTTCTATGGGCAATCTGTTCCAGTGCTTCACCACTCTTATTAAAAACTTCTTCCTTATAACCAGTCCAGATTTTCGTTCTTTTAGTTTGAAACCATTTCCCCTTGTCCTACCAAGACCCCAAATGCTGAGAGCCTGGCTTGAACTCGACGAGAGCTCAGCGAAGGCTTCACAAAAGAGCGTGAGCCTTTTTGAAGAAATCAAGTTTGTTTGCAGTGAGCTTAGCTGATGTAAGAAAATAAGCAGGTTGTAGTTCTAGTGCAGAACAGACTCAGAGCACAATAATTGTTTCTACTGAAAAAAAATCCTGCTGCCTACAGCAATGTGATTAGACTTCCCAAAATATCTGCTGTCTGAGCTGTTGTGGACGCCTGGGCTCTGTCTCGATGTGCAGGGTGGTATCCTGGAGACGCACAGCTGGGCTGACTCGGAGCCAACTAGCCTGGGTAGTAGCAAAAGATATCTTCCCACGTCAGCCAAGAGCGGGCTTGCATGTGGTGCTGCAGTGCCAGCCTTCCATCTGGACACAATTAATTTGGAGGGTTTCTGTGTTATACCATGTAGATGCACCTCCAGAGCCAAAAGCCTCGGATAGCTGCCTGGTAGAATGTTAAAAGCTAGTTAAAGCTTGTCTACTCATAGAGGTGCATCCTTCAGCTTAATTAAGAGTTTCTACTGATATATACAGGAGAACTGAGATTTTGCTGACTCTCAAAGAAATCTGTGTGGTCAATACAGGATGAGTCTGTAGTGTTACTAGGCAAAGGGGATACAGGAGTGAAATTATCCTCAAGAGTTAGCAGTAAGAAGGGATGTTTCCTTCTGTTCCAGCTATCCATTCAGGTAGGCAGTGCTGGAAAGCCATGCAGGCCTTTAAAGTTCTGTTCCACTAGTTTTGAAGCCAAGGTGCAGAAGGCACATTATCACATATTGGAGTAAGGTGAAAGATGTTTGTTCATTACGGATATTTTTCAGCAGCAAACAAAGTTTTACAAGAAATGAAGTTGCAGAGCTGAAAAAAAAAAACAACCCTAGTATCTATTGGCTTGATAACTGTAGCTTCTGCAGAGTGAGCTCGGATGCCATCTTCCTGCTAAACACTGAAAGGAAGGGAAAAAAGAGAAGTGAAACGTTTTCTAGTGTCTACTCTAGCCATTGTAATTAGTAAGAGGAATATTTTGCTGATTACTCAGGTGAATGACATACCAGTAATAGCAACATGGCATTAATGACTTGGGAGGAATGAGAAAGAGTTCATACTTGAGTGAATGTGCCTCTCCCAGCAAGCAGCGTCTGAGTCACCAAAAAATCGATCACTGAGATCAGGCAGCCCAGTTGTGGCTTTTGTCTTTTTGCTTGTAGTTAAACATCAAGATGAATTACGGAGTGGTTGATGTGTTTAGGTGACTGGAGCTTTGGGTGGATTGTGTCCCAGTGTTTATAGTGTTTCTGTCTAGTTGTTTTATGAAGCTGTGTTCGTCTGGCAGGAAGAATGGAGCAGTGTTTACAGATGTAGTGCTGAATCTGCAGCTGGATCAAATGGCACATGTTCAAAATAAGTAGGCATTTAGGAGTAACTGCTCGGTTAGCAGCAGTGACTTTGTAGCAGACAAAATCACCAAAAGCTATATGTATCTCTCTTTTACAGTATGCGTAAGGAAGTTGTTTAAGACAGAGAGGAAAATGCTTATTGTACTATCAGTTGATTTAAGGGTTATGCCATTATCTTGTAAACGTACTTTTTTTTTTTTTCCTTTTCATTCTAGGTGCTGCAGGGACTACTAAAGATGCGTAAGTACTTGCTCTGCCCTTTCAAACATGTAACCCTGGACTTATTTTCAGTCCTGCTAGTCTTACACTGGATTTAGTCACACGTAATGATTCATCTGGCTCCTAGTGTATTATCAACACTGTCAGGTGTTTATTGTCATTGGTGACAACTTCCATCTCCTCAAAACCACCTCATGTTTACTATTCTACAGACTCATTCCCCTTCTGTTTCTCAGCCTCCATTGAGAAAGTTGTCTTCCTTAGCTGGTCGTACAACTTTAGACTATTTTTCCCCATCATGTGCTAGTACAGCCTTCTGAAAGGGGCATGTCATTGTATGAAGTGAAACATGAGCATCCACTCAGCTCTGTGGGAGATTTTAATGAGATTTTTAACTTAGGCAAATGTTCCCACTTTGCCAGAGACCTGGTGACCCATCCAAACTTCCTTTTGAAAACACTCACCTTCCTAACTAGCTGCAAGTGAGGCCTCATTTGTTAGGGAAAGTTATGGCCTTTACCGTCTTTGAACTGAAGACAGCATCTATCATTCCTCTTTCTGTCTCTTATCCCTGCTGCTGAGGAGCAGGGGGCAGCCCTACCCATCCTGTTTTTCTCCAAACATGGAAGATCTGAACCTCTGTTACCCTGCTGCCTGTTGCCAGTTTCTGGTTTTCAGAAAAGCTGCAGCAGAAGATTAGCCCTTCTCAGGTTGTTTTTCATTTGCTGATGCAAAGCGTGCAGGGACAGATTTAATCAGACATAAATTTATTTTGCTATGAAAGGAAACACTAAAGAAGGTGTCCCAAGGTCTTGCCTTCTATTTCATAGAATGATTATTTGCCTCTGGAGTTTGAGACTGAGGAACTGGGGATGTATTTTCGTATTGTGCAACAGGGTTTTACTTAGTTCATTTTAAATATCTACTGTAATTGAACAGAAGAATCCTGGTGTACAAATAAGGGCTGTCAAAAATACCCGGAGAGAAGATCTTAAGCACAGGCTTGTCCTTGCTATTAGAGAGCATGGCTTAGAATTAAAGACGGGTCTCACTTGTGAGATGAATGCTGTTGTGACAGGTACTCTTGAGATTTGTGCTACCTGTGTGATCTGAATTTTCAGTCTCAGACAATAAGCAAATTGCTAAAAGCAGGCTTATGAGGAAGCCCTTTTGATATAGCCTGCAGCATTCATGCGCTCAACACTCCTAGGTATCCAAAAACACTGTTTTCAATTTATATTAGGGTCTTGTGTTGTTCAAGCAATTTAGGTAATTTAAACAACTACGTACAACTGCCTCTGTTTCTTTGTTCTTGAATAGTTTTACATTTCAAAATCTGCAAGCACTGTTAAAATTAAGAATGTAGTAGACATTTCTGTGTTTGAAGCTATGAGTACATGTAGAACTGTGTTGATACTTAGTGACAGATAATCTGTCAAGTTTCATAAAAGTAGTAAGATAACTTAGAAAAAAACCAAATTTTTAGTGCTGACTGCAAGAAAGAGAGTTGGTCCTGGAACCATTAGTCATTCGAATAAGTACAGTGGGGCCAGCAGAATAACGTGTGTGAGTAATAGTATAATTGAGTCTTCTAGTGAGGCCTTAGAAACACAGATCTGTTAAAGGGAGAGAAACAGCAGTATAACCAGAAAAGTCCTAGATCAATCATCCTAATATTTAGCAGCAGATTTTTACAACAGAAGTAGAACGCCGGAAAAAAGAAACTATTTCACTGTGGTCAAGAAAAGCTTTTAGGTGTGTTCTCACTTCTATCACATTTTTCAGCACAGGATTTGCTTATTGTAATTCAGAAGATTTCTTGTTTCCTGAGGGCAACCCGTTGGGACTCCAGCAGCTGGGTGGATCAAAGGAGGGCTGGATCCTGCTCGGAGCCTACCAGTGACCACAAGGAAGCTGCTTGGCCCTCTGGGCCTTAGATTGGGCATGTTTGACCTTGGGTTGCTCCACTACTAACATCAGGATGATAATGTAATTGTCCATGCTAAGTTCTCTTGAGATTGAGGTTAGAACAAAACAGGCGTGTTATCTGGGAATGTGATCTCCTCCTGTATACTCCCACTTACAAATGGCTGGTGAACCTGTCAGCCAGCTTCAAGCAAATCACTTGCCATGCTTCTAAAGGAAGGATGTGGTGCTATCTGGGAAAGCTTGGAAGGGATAAAGTATACACTGCAAAACAGTGTGATGCCTACTGAAAGTGTGCCTAGGTTCAGATGAAGATTAGTGACAGTAGGAAGGAAAGGATATGATAATTTTAGCCTGTTTCAAAATACTGGGGAGAAATCCATCAAATACAAATTGATAGTCCCTGTCCCTTGGTCTGAAGAAATACTGGGAAACTAAAGTGACACAATCTGTTACTTGTGCAAAGGTTAATGAGTCATTTCTGGTGGCACTGCTGAACACTACTAGAAGGAGTCTGCGTAATACTGGAGGTCAACGTGGACGAAGCCATAAAACCTGAGATAAGAAAAATGTGGATGGGATGAATTAATGCGAATGCCTGTCATTTTGTATTTAAAACACTATGTGAAAAATGGCAGTTTGTATGTTGTCAAATGGACTCAGGACTGATGGATGTGAAAACTGACAGCTGGATGACCAAGAATATTTTTCAGACTTAAGAGAGTGACAGGAATCCTCATGGGACAGACAAATCCTTACCAAAAGAAACATTTATTTTAGCTGAAAATAGATGCTGTTATGTGAATTTGCTGTTAAATCTGCCTACCAGTTGCAGGACTCCACCTACGTCACCTGCTGAAAAATGTGATCTCAGCCTCTTTGCAGCAGATATCAACAGTGTCTAAGGGAAGGTGCAGTGGCACAGCATCAGATCACTGCAAAGCACATTAGACTGTCTGGTCCAGCTGTTGAGTTACTGTCCATTCCTGGTGCAGAAAGGCATATCATAACTTGTTCTGCCTGGAGGACACCATAAATAGAGGCTCTTTGATGCAAAATGAGATATTTATAGGTTGTTTTTTTATGCTAGATTCTTCTTTCATCCTTGTCAAAAGGGGAAGCTAGAGACTTAACAGAAGAGGAGAGGGGAGAGTGAGCCTGGGAGGTGCAGCAATTAGTGTGCTGCTGAAGCCAAGGGAACTGCCTTTCATTCCCATTCCTATGTGGCTGAGTGTCACCATTGCAGCTCACTCCCTGAGGCCACCACTGCTCATGCAGCACGGGTGCACGAGCAGCAGTGGTTCCATCGGCCTTAGCTGGCTCCTAGAAATTTAAACATTTGAAATTAGTGTGCACCTTTCAGAATGGTGCCTTAAACTAGAGATTACAGTTTATGAAGGCAAGAGATGTGCAAAAATGCGTAATATGTAAATTGGAGCAGCACTCATTCCCGTGCTTTGAAATGAGCCATTGGAAAGGTGGAAAATGGCTGCTTCTTCCATTGTCAGTGTCCACATTTTTCTTTATTTTCCTCTGAACACTTTTCTGTTCTTCCTCTGTCTGCTCAGTAGTAGCAGTATGGCAGAATGAATCCAGCCATCACCCAGTCCAAGAACTGTTGTCTGTTCTGAGCATATTCGCTGGTGAGAATTTAAGAGAAAAGGCATTTTAAAATCAGACTTTGATTTGTAGCTATTAAGAGAAAAGTAGGAAAGTAAAATATTTAAAAAACCTAGCCTGCTTAATCATAGTCCTGGGTAATTTGTTTTGGTGAGAGAATGACAGTAATTGCTCAGTGATGCCCCATAACGGAACATTGCTAGAACAGAACAAAATAGCCCTGTTGCCTGGCAGAAGCTTTTTTAAACATTGACATTAATTTCCTGTTGGACAATATTGATTGTTATTCTTACAATTCCATTTTAGAGGCTTTGAGCCACTCTTGAACTTGTCAGTGCTTTAAAAGAATTCTTTTCCCTGCATAATGGTTAATCTGGATTATAGAAACTGTTTCCAATTGTATGAGATAATCTGGTGACACATTTGGTTGGTTCAACAGAAATGATTGATTGTGATCTCCTGGCACCCAAAGTTCCTTTCTAAAAGCGTGGTCATTTTTTTAAAAACTAAAAATACACAGCTCACTCCTACCCATTGATAAACATCTGCTTTCCTCTTTCTTCTGCTGGAGCTGGGCAGAGTGATAAAGCAACTTCATGCAGCTCTGAAGGAAAGGGGTCTTTGCTTTTTTTGTGGCTGTGTAAAGGAGAGCTGAGGCTGGGTGATGGCAGAGGATATGCTTCTTACCCATCTGGAGAGCATTGTCGAGAAGGCCAGAGAGCAAAGCTGCACAGAGGGGTTATATTCTTCTTCTCTAGAGATATTTAACACCCATCTGGGTGCCTATGTGTACAACCTTCTGTAGGGAACCTACTTGAGCAGGGAGTTGGATTTGATGATCTCTTGAGGTCCCTTCCTACCTCTACAGTTCTGTGATTCTCAGAGGTGAGAGCACAGCACGGGTACTGTTACCCACAAGGAATCACATTGACAGTTTTATCTTTTTTTTTTTTTTTTTTTTTTTAAACCACATTTGCCTTCTTATCTTTATCCTCTGCTCTGGTTCAATTACACTGGGCACTATTTCAAGGAGGGGTAGTCAAACTTCAGTGGCTCCTTATCCATTTTACCCAGACAATAAAAGAAAACTGATTGCCCATTTATAAGGGACTAATTTTGCAATTTGTTGATTGGGAAACAACTCTGACTTCAGTAGTAGCAGTACCTCACTTTATATAGGGGTTCCTGAACACATTGTGGCACAGCTACTGTGAAGGTTTCTTTCTTCATCCTTGTTCTTATGCCGTGGATGTCCACTCTCATCTAGTCCTCTGTTGATGGAAGAACAGCCCATAATTGTTTCTGTTTTGTTCAGAGATTTTATGTTGTTGTGCATTATGTGGGGACTCAATCAGGAAATATATTTATTTACCAGCTTCAGCTCCCAAGCCTAGTTTCAGGCATCACTGGAAGGAATCAAGGCAAGTAAGCTGCATCTGTTCTCAATCCTTTTCTTTCTTCCATACATTAGATTGGAAAATTGTCCTTCTTTTTTTGCCTTTGTGAGTACTTTATAGCATTGTGGATGATCTGAATGAAACTGGGATCAGTAGTAATACTGTTCTTCATTTGCCCCTGAATCTACCCTGATGGTCAGAGTATCTGAAAGAAACTATTTGCTAATGAGTTTTACGTCTTTTGGTGTTACAGAGCAGAAGAATCTGTATCAGATGATGACAAAAGGAGGTAGGTGCTGTACTTGCTTTATTTGGAATTGACTGCACTGAATTTTGCTGTTGGATATGCATCATATTAATTCCCACTGACACCATCAGAGCAAAGCAAAAAAGAGTAGGAAATCTCATGCAAAACACAAAATTGGTGATTGTCACCCCTGTTAATGTGCTGGGGAAAGGAGCTTTTCAGCAAGAGGAGCACATATCTCACAGTGGTAAGTAATCTGCCCCGTAATGGCCAGGGGCCTCTGCCATCACAACAGCCCTGCCACAGATGGCATTAGCATCATTGGAAGATCTCTGTTGGGCTGGAAATTGAAGGAAGTACAACTCTATCATCAAACAAATCAGAAATCAACTCAGAGATGCAGGAGCTGGAGGAGAAGTGATTCATTTAGTACCTAATGGGTCAGAGCAGCTACTCTGTAATTAGCTCCAAGTATGGCAGAGATTCTTAAGGACCCCATTTCTACCTCCTTGCATCAGTTCCTGCTTTTTATACTGACTTCAGAGCTGGAAATACATTCTTTATCGTCATGAAAGGGAGAGGGTTGGAATACAAAAGTATCTAATACACTTATGCATCTTCTTACTAACAGTGTTCTCCAAGTATGGCCCTGAGAAGGGGGTGTAGATCCTATTTATTAATCAGGAGAGGTCAAAGTCTTGTTTAGTTGGCATGCATTGTTAGAAGGAGGTGCTTCTGTGGTCTCAGGGCTATGCTCTGATATCAGACTATCTATCTCTTGGGTCTCTAGAAGAACCTTTCCTGCAGCCTTGGGAAAGAAGGACTTCTGTGGTTGTGCATCCTCTCTGTCCATCCATGGTCTTTGTAACACTGCTGTGTGACATTTATGCTACTGGAAGAAGTGTTTCACTTAAGCTCTGATGTCTGTTACTTTTTTTTCTTCGTATCAGGAACTATGGGGGTGTGTATGTTGGTCTGCCATCGGATGCGGCTGCCATGGTTTCCAGTCAGACGAAAACTGCACCAAAAGGTATTGTAAGGTTGTGCATTGCATTTCTCCCACTTTCTTGGTTAAATTTTATCTAGTAAGATGTATTTATCCTTTAAAAATCAGTGATTACTTCAGACAGACTTAACAGCATTGGGCTCTCTTAAGGCAGTGGGGCTGTTTATAATCACCCAAGTGATTGCTCCCGTTTAAGTTATAACATTCCAACTTCTGCTGAAGAATCATAGAGCAGATGGTGCCAGGGTGGTACATTGTCTTCTGAACAGCTTCTCTGTGCTCTGAGTGCTGTGTGAATTCAAGGAAAACAAAATACTGTTAGGATTAAGAGGCGATGATATATGCACTTGCAGAGCCTTGGCACTATTTTTAGATTTGAAGATGTTTACTTGCACTGTGGTGAAATTCAGTAATAACGGTTAGTGAGTGCTTGCTTTCAGGTTTGCTTCTGTTCTTAAATGATACCTAGTGCAAACTGTGTCTTTTCCATGCTATATTTTTAAACAGTGGGAAATAAAACATTGTGTTTACAAATACTTAGTAGACAAGCCATAAATATATTTATAAGATCGTGTAATATTTTTCAGATTTAATACAACAAAATGCTGCTGTCACTTATGTACACCACAGAGCTAAGTCACTGACTGGAGCTTCCAAAATGTGCTGCAAAACAAAAAATGAAGAAAAATAACACTGTTTGTCATAATAATAGCAACTGTCTTTGGAACAGTAGTACCTGTGTTGCATGCTTTGTTTAAATGTGTTCTAAATAAGTTATATGTTACAATGTTTTAACCTTCTTTACCTTTCGTTTTCTAATTAAGATTAGAAGGAAATAAACACATCAAGATCAAAACAGCTGGAGGTCAGTATGGCTTAATTATTGTTCTGTGTTTGGGATGTGTAGTTGGAAGGAAACCAGGTGGTGGTGCTCCATGAGCTGCTGTCAGGAGTCTGGGGATCACCTGCTTGTGTTTCCAGCTGCACTGTGACTTCTAAGGGCTGAACCAGGGTCAAGTCTCAGTGGTGCAGACAAAAACAAAGCAGTGGGTAAAGCCACCTTCTTGATGAGAAGTGTGAAGCAAGGAAACTGCATCTTTTCCTGTTTGTGTATGAATAAAAATCGAATGTCTTTGTACTCCCCTTCAACCACACTGCGGATGGCCCTGCAGCAGTATGAAACCTGCTATGGGTACTGTGCACTCAGCAGCATGTAATCAGCATGATCCCTGCAGTCAAATATTTCTCTATTTTTGGGGCCACCTTGCAGATCAACGTGAGGCACCCAGTATGTGACACACTAGAGCTTTCCTCCTGTTAGGAGAGAATCTGTGGTGCTTTGTGCTCTGCTGGCCAGAATAGGACAGTGAAAAAAGGATCTGACTTAAGAGTTTCAACTAAATGACTAATTAAAAGAAGTTCTTTACAAATTCATGTCTGAAGAAAAACAAAGCAAGCTTATCTTCCATTCAGAATGTGAACTGAACAAACATAGACAAATTTCAAAAGAGAACTGTGTTGCTCATCTGGGGTGGAGGGGGAATTATAAAGCCACCAACATTTCCTACAGAAAGGAGAACCCTTTTCTAATTTAGATGAAGAACCAGAAACGGTTCTGGCTGGTCTTGGTGCTGGATGCAGAGCCGGTAGAGCAGAACACAACTGTACCGGTTGTTTTTAATCATGTGAATAGTTAAAGCTCCATGGGCTCTACCCTCACATGCAGAGAGAACTGAAGTTGGTCATCACACTAATTTCAGTAACCTGGCCAGGGTGTTGTCTGAGCCAAGAACATGCTTGATCTGAGCAAGGTTGAGGCACCTTCTTGAGGTGGGGGCTTTCCATTTATGGTTGGTGACTGGAATCTGAGTTCTTTTGCTGTTCAAAATAGTTGAAAGTGCTCTTTGACTTCATTGATGCAAAATCAAAGCTTGCCTGCATTCGGGCTACGGAAAACAGTTTGAGCACCTTTAAAGCTTCAAAGCCTCCAGTGAGCTCCAAGAATTTATGTCCATGTGTGTCTAGAGGGCGTAGTCCTCAAATCTCACAGCTTCTAACAGACACCTAGTTAACTGCTTTGTATGTAGTGTTGCTGTGTGGCTTTACCAGTTCAGCTAAATCTCTTTATCCCTAATTTTTTTATGTTTTTGGCAGTTTTCTGCAAAGACCAGTTACCAGTACTTTAGAGAGAGTTGTCTTTCTGCTGAAGATTTTTATATTTACATAGCCTTCCAGAGAGCAAGACAGATCAGAGCACCAAAAAACCTAAGCTGTTGCAAGTTCCAACTACGGGTAAAGCTTAAAGTACAACGTTGAATCTGTTTGCCGTGGTGATTGCGTTATGGAAACCTCCTGCTGTTCTCCAGAGGAAAATGAAATTAATGAACTCATGGTGGATGTTTCTGCACAAGAGCTAACTTTGATGATCTGCAAGTTATTTCTCTGTGGCCATATTGCAGATTTCATCAGCTATCAGCTGTGCTTCATATATTTTCTCCAAAAATTTTTAATAGATTTTATATAGGAAATCATTATTACTGTCCACTTAATAGTTCCTATGGTAGATTCTTATAAATTAATTGTTAATTTACTTCAGAGTAATATATTTAACAGATTTGCATCTTTTTGGTAATATTGCAAATTTTACTATTTTTGCTGTGAAAACTTACTAGGATGAAATAGGCAAAAGACCATTGGGCTGTTTATAATTACTATCATCACTTTTATACATTGAAACAAATACTAGAGTTTAATTTTCACCTTTTAAAAATACATTGCTCAAGGAAATTTGTTTAAATAAGGACAGTGTATCTCATCATAATATGTATGTATGTTTTCATTTTCTTCAGCTTTATCTCTTTTATAAAGCTTTACGTGAAAAAAAAAAACAAACATGAATGAACCAAACTATTATGTTATGTTTTCCATTCTGGGTGATATTACAGTGACATTTCCTTGAGTGAGCGTGAAGTGATGGTATTGTCAGAGATAGCTGGACTAAAATCCAGCCTTGTGTCCTCCTGAAATGTAGTGAGCTTGATCACTATTGAGTTTTGTGTCTCCAACTTATCTCCTGTCATCTCCAATATGGCAAATAGTAACAGAATCGGTGGTGGTATTATTTCCACGTATTAATGTATGAAGTTATGGATGGGGGGGGTTAAAATTCATTGCGTTTATAACACCTGGAGGTTTTTCACAAAACATGAATCAGATGAGATGGCATGTTTCCATATGGCTGAACAAGTATTACAGTTATTAAAACTTTTTTGCATAATTTGTTAGTCAAACTTTTTAAAAAAGACACAATGTTACACCAGAAAAAAAAAAAAAAGGAAATCCCCACCACGTTCATGTATTACAGTAGATTAACAACCACTTTTAAAATAAAAAGCAAAAGCAAAACAGAAACTTGGGCATCAAATGGAACACTGAGAACCCTGAAATCCTTGCCCATTTCACCAATACCTGTTAAGACAAATAAGCAATTACTGATCATGATTTCTTGCAGCTTCAGCTTTAAAACAAGCAGAAGTTTGGTTAGTGTGAGTCTGTAAAGAGAAGTATATAAAAATACTTCTTGCTTGCCACCTTTTAAGTGTTTGTGGCAATATTTTCTTCTGTTCTCAAGAACTCTGCTGCTTTGCTTATCAATGCTTTCAAACTTCCAGTTCCTAAAGACAAATATACAGTTCATACTTGATCCCTTCAACCTAGAACCAAGTTGAAATAACTTGAAGATTAAGAGTTGGTGTTAGAATATCTCATTTTGAATGATTGTCTGCAAATTACATCTGCAGACTCCTGTTCTTACAAGCCAAGCTGATGAGAACTCAAATAGTGTTGGGTAATGAATGTGCAGTTTTGCTTCCTGCCAGCTTACCGGAGCATAAGGATATAGTTTCCATATCACATGCTCCACAAACAATCCAGATGGTTTGAACAACACACAAGTTTATTCAGCAGAGAACAGCAAGGCCCATGTCTGACCTAACCATGATTGCCTTTCCCAAAGGAAAGTAAACAACAAAGCAAACAAAAAAATCCCCCCAGAAACCAACAAGGAACCAGTCATCCTAGGATATATCATAGTTCAGTTAGAAAAGCCAGTGGAAGACACCAGTAATCTCTCCTTCCCTTGCTGGGAAGAATCACTGAAAAAATGGACCAGGCTGTATTCAAACAGCTCTTGTTCTGTTCCTGACATCTGAAGTCCCTTGTGTGGATTGAGAACAAAACAAAGTGGTCTTTAAGAATAACTCCCGAGAGCTGGTGATGGGACAGATGAGGGAGTTGAAACTTGCTGGCAGTTGAAACTTTTTCTTGTTACACGTCTTCACCTGATTTTTCTCGTGCAAAGTTACAAAGAGGTGAGCACACTGCAGAACTACACTCATAACGATCGTCCTCTGAATGTGTGGGAGGTACGGTGGTTTCTTTCTTAGTATTTTTGTTCCTCTGCATCTTATCACCACAAAAGCTTACCATCAACTGACATATGTTTCAGTATTATGGGCTGAAACCTCAGTAGTAGATCTTGTCAAACTGGAGAGCTAGGGCCGTGGACTCGCCTTAGATTAGCAAACTCTTGTGTTTTGTTTTCCCAAGGACCCAGAGATGTAGAAACTTTATGACAGTGCACTGTATTCTGTCTTGGCTAAATTCCACTTAAGAAACTGATTGTCTGCTCATCAAAATTCCTCTATGGTGAGTAACATTTCCTAAGCCTTTGTTAATGAAAGCACATGACATTTCTTGGAGAAATGAGCATACTCTTTCAAAACTTACAATCTATGGATATTTCTGTAAGGAGGAGGAACATAAAAGAAACCCTATATGCCAGCTGACAGCTGCGTTTTTGATGGCACCCTTGGAAGATATTTAGGCTCTCATTGATGGTTCAGAGTGAGAATTGCAAACAGAAAACAAGAAGCCATTGAATGGCAGAGTTATTATTATTAAGGAATACGCTTTGGTTTTGTCAAAACTTTCTTGAATTACCATGTGTAAAGAAGGAACATTTAAATGCTGAGCTGTAGTGCTATTTCACGTTGTCACTCTTTCTCCAGCCAAAGCTGAGGAAGTATCTTTGCACTCTGAAAGTACTTTAGCAAAGACTGCATTCAGGCTTCAGAACCCGAGAATCTTCAATTTGGGCTTCTTTAAACGGCAGAAATATTATTCTGGAAGTTACGTATCTCAGGTCAGACAACTGAATCTTGAAAAATACTAGGCCTCCTAAGCACAGGTTTGGAACCACACTTTGCCATTGCTGAAAAAACAGCTGTGCTTTCTTCTTAGGTGATAATTTTTGTCTCACTGCACAAACTGTTCCACCTGGAAGACAGCTGGCCCTTTGAATTACACTAATGGGACAGTTTATTTATTTTGCTTTCTTCTGAGTGCAGAACCTGGAGCTTAGTTGTGAGGACTCAACTTCTCAGTCTCTGCATGGCCCAGGTAGAGATCCTGCTCATCTTGCATGTGCCATCCACCCTGCAGTACAGTTCAGAGGATGCAACATAGAGCTAAACGTCTGTGTTGCTCAAACATTAAATCCATCACTAAGAAGGTTGTGAACACCCTGGTAAAGCCCACTGTAATGTGACATAGGGGACATTGTTCACTAGGGCAAAATCCTCTCATAGTAGAGGCCACATAGGGCTGAAACTGCAGAACATAAAGGGGGGGTTTGTTACTATTGAACAGAAACAAAAAGCAGTGATTCACTTGATTTCATCCTGCATCTCTAGCAAAGGAATCTGCTGTATCCAAGTACAGTTGAAATGGCATCAGTTTTTTTAGTAATGCACTGGCATATTGTTCTCTGTCACCCACACAACTCTAGTGATTCTCAGTAATCATGCTTCCCAAGCAGTAGGTGAGTCACTACTAATGTGTTTTCAGCAAAGCAGACCTCTGTTTGGTTCCCATGGTGATCAGAAGTGACAATTATTACAGACTGCTACTACAGTTCCTCTAGTGTGTGTACCCATTAAAGAAGCTCTTATCTGGTTATAGTTCCTCAGAGTTTTGCAGTACATTGTCATCACTTCCTATTGACAGCAATTTGAACACTTGAACTGAATTGGCTTTGTGGAGAACTTGGCTGGAGGAGGGTGATTTGTGGAATATTTTTGTTTTGCAATGGATTTATAAACAGACCAAGAAAACAGCTGTGCTGTAAACTTTCCACAAAGCAAAGGTGTGCCAGTATTGCAGGAAACCTTTTGAGACTGGGCTAAATGCTTCAACCCGTTTTAACAACAAACTTTCACAGAACTTGAAGTGATCATAATGGGAGCAATTTTGTTTTACACAGTCTAGCAATTTTTGCTGTAATATTAAGAGTTTTCAAACATAGGAGTATTCACCGGACAGCAGAAACCTGCTTGTGAGTGCTTAGAATGGCTGCCACCCATTCTGTAGGAATCAAATAGCTATAGGTGAAGATAGGACACTGCCCATGAAACAGATCTTTCCAGGAAGCATAGTGAAGCTTCTTAAACCAAGACTCATGAGCTTAAGCCTGCTGAGAAAAGAATAAGAAAGATACCATGGGACGGAACCTGGATGAAATGGACTTAAGAGTGCCAGAAAGGAGGAAATACGTGAAAGAAAGAGGATTATATTATGATTATGCTGCAAAGACAGATTCAGAAGAATGTCAGGAACTGAAAATTATGTAAAATAAAGGAAATAGTTTAATTAAGCATCTGCTCTATTCTCTGTGATTTTCATCTGTTGAACATAGAGCAAGAAGTAGACAATTGCCAAATCATTTTAAGACTGAAGAGAAATGGAGATTGGCTTACACTTAGAAGTCTGAGATGGCAACCTGTTGGGAAACCATTTCTATCCTTTTCTTTTTCTTTCTTTTTTTTAATGCTGTGTATTGAGCCCGTTAACCTTATATGTCTTCTTGGATATTGCCAGGATATATAAACATTCTACCTTCTCTTTCAAATGGTGTTCCCTTTGTTTACATCTCTCCTTGCAGATTTAAACCTCTAATCTCTTTGAAAGCTTGCATCACTTTTGAAAAACAGTTTTAGTAAACTGAGAAAATACACAAGATGTAAAAATCATTAACAGGCATAGTGCAGGGTTAGATTATAGAACATCCAGAAAAGATTATAGAACATACAGAAAGAGTTTAATCTGAAAAGCAAAGCAGAGGTAGGAGCGAAGCCTTGGTTTAGTTATGACATATATTTTAAGTTGTTTGTATAACCAATGGATCACTGTGGTCTTATCAGTGTTCAGGGAATTAGCAGCCCACTGAGAGAGTTCTGTTTCTGGTCTTTGATTCCAGTGTCAAAGGAAGAGGCAGTGTGAAGGAAAAGATGTGTGAAGGAGAGGTAATGTGAAGAACTAAATTCCACACTTAGCTAACATTGCCCATGTTTTATGTTTGCCAAATCTCGGTGTTGTCTGCAGGACAGCTTCAGCTCTATAAAAGCTGAGCTCACTGAGTTCTTACTGTGAGGCCGTGATTCAGAGAGACATGTTAATTGGAGACAGGTCACTTTCAGTAACTGTTTTGTGGGGGAGATTGGACTGTAGGAAAATGTAAGACTGTTTATTGAAGTTAAAGAGGTATTCAGACTTTGGAGAAAGTCCATGTTGCGTCACCACTGAACACTACTTGACAGAACACAAACATAGTGCCATGTTTATCAATAAGTAAAATCAAGAAGGTAATGCAAACCTTTCATTTTGAGTCTAATGTATTTGTGCTATTGTACGTGGTTACACTGACTGTAACTTTGAATATTTTCCCCCAGCTAAGCTTGTGTTCCCCAAATCATATTACTGTAAGGGAAAAACTTGGACAGATTCCCATTACCTGGTTTTCCATAGGAGCCTTGCATGCTTTTGGGAAATCAGCCAAAAGATCTTCCATAAAA